TCTGCATCTCGAGGCCACGCCTCCTGCCACCACACCGCACGAGTAGAAAAAGGAAGCCACGTGTCACCTGGCAGAGAAATCGGCGACAAGGCGGGGGGGGGCGCTCGGTGAGTGCTTCCGGGTCACACCCACAACTCTTGAGATGTGTAGGCCGGGCGCGGTGGCTCACGCCTGTAATCCCAGCACTTTGGGAGGCCGAGGCGGGTGGATCACGAAGTCAAGAGATCGAGACCATCCTGGTCAACATGGTGAAACCCCGTCTCTACTAAAACTACAAAAAATTAGCTGGGCATGGTGGCGCGTGCCTGTAGTCCCAGCTACTCAGGAGGCTGAGGCAGGAGAATTGCCTGAACCCAGGAGGCGGAGGTTGCGGTGAGCCGAGATCGCGCCATTGCACTCCAGCCTGGGTAACAAGGGTGAAACTGTCTCAAAAAAAAAAAAAAAAAAGAAAAGGTGTGTATTAGCCAAAAATTTTTGCCTAAATTCAGCAAACCTTTACATTTAATTTCCAGTTTGAAGTAAAGACGGGGACTAGAGGTACAACTGCAATGATACTATAAAGAAGCAAACAAAAAATCAAGAATATGTGGCATTCGACAGGGCAGACAACTGATTGAGATCTTCATCAAGTCTGGTGTCATAATAAAAAGATACTAGATTAAATGAGACCCAAGAGATCCAACATATCCACTAAATGTGATGCATGGGCCAGGACTGGATCCTGATTTGGGTAATTTTAGAGACATTTGAGGACAATAAGAGAAACTAGAAAGTGGGAGATAAGATAAAGATAGGATAAAGATTTATTGGTACAAAAAGGTAGCTAGTACTAACTTTAAAAATGTTGCAAATAGCATAGTCTGTTTTAGTAAAAGTGCATGCGCACACATATATCTGGAAATATTAAGAGCATTAATTTTGGGAAGGTCAGTATATAAGGCTTTCTTTTTTGTTTATACTTTTTCTTACATGAGCATATGTTGATTTTGTAATAATTTTTGCTTTTTTTTAACTTTTAGTTTCAGAGGTACATGTGCAGATTGGCTCTATAGATAAATTGAGTGTTGTGGAGATTTGGTGTATGAATTATTTCATCACTCAGGTAGTAAGCATAGTAACTAATAGGTAGGTTTTTGATCCTCACCCTCCTTCCACCCTCCACCCTCAAGTAGGTGCTGGTGACTATTGTTCCTTTCTTTATGCCCATGTGTATTCAATGTTTAGCTCCCACTTATAAGTGAGAACATGCAGTATTTGATTTTCTTTTCCTGTATTAGTTTGCTTAGGATAAGGTCAAAGGTGCACGATCTTGTTCTTTTTTTACGGCTGCATAGCATTCAATGATGTACATGTACCGCATTTTCTTTATCCAGTCTACCGTTGATGGGCATCTAGACTAACCCTAGGTCTCTGCTATTGTGAATAGTGCTGCAGTGAACATATGTGTGCATGTGTCTTTATGGCAGAACAATTTATATTCCTTTGGGTATATATCGGGATTGCTGGGTTGAATGGTAGGTCTGTCTTAAGTTCTTTGAGAAATTGCCACACTGCTTTCCACAGTGGTTAACCTAATTTACACATTCCCACCAGCAGTGTATAAGCAATCCCTTTTTCCCTGCAGCCTCATCAGCATCTGTTATTTTTTGACTTTTTAATAATAGCCATTCTAACTGGTGTGACATGATATCTCATTGTGGTTTTGATTTGCATTTCTCTGATGATTAGTGTTGTTGGGGATTTTTTCATATGCTTTTTGGCCACCAGAAAATTTCTGATTTAAAAAAGACCCAACTCTAAAACAAGGCATAAATGGGTAAAATAAAAATACATGGGGGAAATTGGTAGGTGTCATCAACAGAACTGAGTCTCCCTGATGCTGCTGATGTTCCCTGTCATCTAGCCAAGGTATCAGGTGTGGAAACACACGTACACAAACACACACAAACACAAACATACACACACAGTCAGAATGGGGTCCCATTTTGAAAATAGTGAGGTCAGTTCTGTTCACACTGCCACTCAGTGTGTGCGTGTTCCCTGCTGGAATTCTCCGTCTAAGGTCCATAAACTCCTAGATGATCCACAGATCCTGAAGTCAGAGATCAAATTTATACCAGAATAGCAAGGAATACATCCCAAAACAGTTAAGAGCCACTGCCCTAAAATGTTAGCTCTGTTGCTTCTTAAAAATCTTTTGTCTGGGCAAAATGGCTCACACCTGTCTACCCAGCATTTTGGGAGGCTGAGGTGAGTAGATCACGAGGTCAAGAGATTGAGACCATCCTGGCCAACATGAAGAAATCCCGTCTCTATTAAAAATACAAAAATTAGCTGGGTGTGGTGGTGGATGCCTGTAGTCTCAGCTACTTAGGAGGCTGAGGCAGGAGAATTGCTTGAACCCTGGAGGTGGAGGTTGCAGTGAGCCAAGATTGTACCACTGCACTCCAGCCTGGCAACAGAGCGAGACTCTGTCTCAAAAAAAAAAAAAAAAAAGCTTTCAATTTCAAAAGATCTCTGGGGGGAAAAATGGGTTGTTAAATCCTGTATTTAGAAGGACTTTTCTGCTCCAATGTTAAGCCATCACTTTCTCCAGCTCCTGGAGGCATGGGGAGGGCAGAAGAGATAAGGTCTCAAATTCAGAAAAATAAATTTCTTCCTAGCCCCATAGAGCCCCCAAACATTGCCACGAGCTGGGACACATAAGGGAGTAATAGTGCTTCAAATTCCCACCCCAAAATACACTGGGACTTTCCCCCACTGTCTAGTCTCGGGCCTCAGCATTTCTCAAAGAATCAGAGTGAACGAGCAAGCCCTGCTTTGAAGGGATACGCCAGCTACCCAGAGAGCAAGACGCCAGAAATGTAGGAAAGTGCATGGAAAGAATAAGCAAATTCGGGGGTAGGTAAGGGAAAGCACTCTTGCTTATCTTTGGAAGTTTCAGTTCTGAGGACTAATTTCAGAGTAGCAGGATGAAATCTCCGAAATGCCAATAATTCAATAAATAAACTACTAAAGACAATGAATGCCATATGTCTCTTGTTACAAATGCATTCTGAGCCTGGCGCGGTGGCTGACACCTGTAATTCCAGCACTTTGGGAGGCTGAGGCAGGTGGATCACCTGAAGTCAGGGGTTCAAGACCAGCCTGGCCAAAATGGTGAAACCCCGTCTCTACTAAA